ATTGTCATTAGTTGAGCTCTTTAATTAAAGAAAAAAGAAAAACTGTCTGGTTCAGGTGTATTACGGATACTCCGCCCTGCTGAAACGCTTATGCTGAGCCTTCTGTACGTCCTAGCACATTTTAGCTTCGCCATTCAAAAGCGCTCTTCCCGTCACAGTACTTTCAGTCTGCTAGAAAGCGTTTAGACGTAGATGGTCCTTCACTGAATCCAAGCAAACCCACAAGCTAGGTTGCCTTATTTAATCTCTGTCCCAATGTCAATGTATATTGAAGGCTAGAATTGAGTTTGTAGTATACCTTAAACACTACAAAAACCTACTAGCAAAGCACTGCACCAATCTTCCAATCCACAAACACAGTCTAATGAAAACAGTCACAATCAATTGCGATGAGCGAACTGACTGCTAGTTGCGCTAAGTGTTGTAAGCTACTGTCACACCTCAGACAGGGGGAGTTGCATCACACGCGGACTACGAGGACACCACAGTCCGCCTCCAATGCCCGGGCTTGTCCCGAGGCTGGGACTTCAGCACGCTGGAGACCAACCGGCAGCAACAGCCACCCGAGACAGCAACTCCGGGTTTCGTACACAATAAACCCCCTCCGGGTGGATTCCAGAATTATGCTCTTCTTATTGTGTTTTTACTTGGGAATTTTAACAGGGCGTAATTCGACGGTGACACACGTCAGATGCCACCGTTACAACACTGGCGACGCAGGACCCGTCGTTATAACGCGTTATAACACTTGTAGGCACGGGTAGAAATTATGCCCTCGAGCGAATGAAATGTGGTTTTAATCACGCCTGCCATTAGTATGAAGGCACTTGTCAGCTATTGGTCCTACGTACCCGCCTTCTAACCGTGGTCTTCAGTGACTAAGATCATCCGATTCCGCCTCTTGTTGTGACCTTGCCGGTCAGTAGACTATGGACCCAAGTCCACGATTATTTTGAATGTGCGTCTTTGTGCACTTAGTTTAATAAAAGTGCACATTTACTCCTCATATCAGACTTTAAACACATCTCACCGTACACTTCCGACTATAGATCATCTTTTTATATGCTGCGCCAAGCCATAAAGTGTATTTTTCCCGATGCTGTACGTTTTAATAATATTAAAACAAGTTTAAATGACAATGCAGTTGAAACAATCAACAAATAAAAGACGTTTTTCTTTGAAAAATCGAACTGATTTGGTCAGTCGCGAATGTCGATTCGTCTCTGTGTTGGATAAAACGATGGTCATCACAATTTAGTCCTGCTGATATTCTCTACTAATTAAAAATAATATCTTATGCATAACACCTTCCTTTTTCCGCAGGCCACATCTCCCCATGATCCCCATCGGTTTGAAGGCCACCCGTCCCGTGGACTTTCGTACGCCATTCGCCCAGTTCGTTGAATCTCACTATCATCAGGATGCCGCTAACTTCGAGGAGGCCTTCCGTCAGCTGAATTCTAGTCGAGAGGTGAGACCACTGTACCCAGCTCACTGCCGGTGTTGTCTTTTTTAAGGTTCATCGTTTTACAGAATATCAAATGCCCTTCTTCACGTGATGACGAATCATCCACACCAACTTTGGGTGTGAACACATTCTTGCTGCCTTACATGCATGTATGGCCTTCTGACGCGTGTGCACGTATTTTTGCGTATCATTTATTGATAGAGCAGGTGTTTTTGCCCCTCCCTATTACTGTCGTTGAAGGAGTTCGAGCAGCTTTTTGTGAAGCTTGCGTCAACAGGTGCACGTGCGCCGGGGACCTTGTTTACAGCTGTAGTTCCCGGGCTCTACCTTAATTACCTTGCTCTGGATCGTGAGTATCGATATGACTGCTCGATGGGTTGGAGGCGTGATGTGGATATCAGGGCACATGGCTTGTAGTTGGTCAGGTTTACGGGCGGGATCAAAACTCCATAGATCGTCTGTTGTGATCATCACGATCCCAGAGGAGTCACGGTGACTTTTTGCTGTCCCTTGCACACTTATTTGGTACAACTGTGCTCATGTTCGATCTAGCCGGATTCGATAATGCCGCGAATTGTGCCTGTCAACACGTTGTGCCAACGAATCGGCATCTCCTGAGTGTTGGGACACGAATACAGAAGGCTCAGGACTTATTTTCAGCTAGCTTTTAAGGATGGAGCCCTCTTCAACGCTTCCAGGTGGACAACGGCGCCGTTTCGAGTGCCGCAGCAACGAGCTCACCAGGCATACAAAGCAGAATGACCTAAAACACAGTTGTCCTTCATGGATGGCTTGAACTGCCTTAGCTCTGCTCTTGCAGTCAGTGAGAACTGTCTCCATGGCTATGAAGTCAGTGTACTTCCGCCAAAGAATGGCCCTCAGAC